TCAACGTCAGTTGAAATCAACTATAACAGCAAACCACACAGTGGTAAACTGTTGATTACCATGCAAACAAGGTCTTCAAAAAATTACATGGTAATAACATTGAACAATAAGAAATTATAACGAAAGAGCACAAACTTGATTGAGAGCTATGATTTAAAGGTTTCCCTTTTCTTTTTAACTCCAACGAATCAATGCAAGATATACCTTTCATAATACTGGTGCAACTTTTTGGTAGGAAATCTTAGAGCTTGGATGTAAATCTGTGCCAGCGAACTCCATTCCCGCTGAGAATACTCAAACTCAATGTACTTGTCCCACAGAGTATGGCATGAGTAATCCTTTCCAACAAACGACATGCCTCGTTTAAATAATCTGTCCAAGAATTTCAAAGTTTTAAACTTGCAAACAATAAACACTGTCTAAAAACATGCAAGAGAGCTGAAAATTTCTACTAGTTCAGATGACTATAACCGAAAAGGCGCGTCAATGATTCAACTACTTCAAAATTTATAGCTGAATTTTGTTACGGAATCAATTTGATATTACCTGCGAATATCAGACGGGTCTTCGAAAACAGACATACTGAAGTTACAGTAGTCCACCCACAGGGGAACAGAGTAAGTTGCAGCCTGCACCGCCCGTTCGAAAACTTCAACAGCCTTGTCAACACTGCATAAGCGGGTCTTGTGATCGGCATACCTCCTCCAATATCCATGGCAGAGCGGAAACTCGGACAAGAAAGAGTCGTAAACAGAGGATATTTTCTCGATGTCATCCTGCACACAATTTCACAGCCAAAATTCACAAAAATAAAGCATAAAAATTATGAAAATTTACGAAATTAAGAGAGAAAAGAAAGCTATTTGCTTACAGAATATGTGTTTTCCATCTCTGAAATGAGTGAAGTCCAGTGATCAAAGTCGAGTGAGACTCCATCAAAATCATCCGACGGAAAAGCTGAATAATTTGAGCGGTGCATTACTTCAGCATTCAGAAAGCAGCTTACAGTGGCTAGAGTAAGCCCTAGAGGAACCACAGTGTGTGTGTGTGTGTGTGTGTGTGCATAGAGAGAGAGAGAGAGAGAGAGAGAGAGAGAGAGAGAGAGCGTTTACCTGGAGAGTCTGACTCCATGGGCTGAGGCTCCGATTCGCAATTGCAAGTCCGCATAGCCGAAAAAATTGATGAATGTGATCGGAGAGAGGGGAGGGGGAGGTAGCGACTAACGAGGCTTGATAGGGAGGAGACGGCTGATAACAGGCGATGGAGGTGAAGGAGGGTATTTGGTTACGATGGTTCGATTCAACAAATTAATTAAGATTGTTCGGTGAAATATTCCGGTCATCCGTAAAAAATTCGTCAATAAACTCGTTAAGTAACGCGTTGGTTTTCACGTGAGACACCATATTTACAAGAAACTAATAAATAGTTTGAAAACTCTAAGTTTTAACAATACAAATAAAATAAATGGTAAAATAAATAGTATCATAATTGAATTTTTAATATAAAAATGTGATTTTTTGTTAAAATAAACATTATCGGAAACTTTTCGTTAAAATTTTCATTATAATAATCTCGACTAGTATATGTCTCACATTTTGTGTGTGAAAATAATTTTTATTTTTATTTTAAAATGGGAAGGAAAAAGAAATGTGAATTAGAGAGAGAAGTTTTTTTTATTTATATTTTATTTTTCAAAATTAGAGGTGTTATCTCCAAAGGATATATCAAATATGGTATGTCAAATTTTTTTTTGATGGCCGATGTAATAAATTGAATACAAGTGTTAAATCTTCTTATTTTCCAATTGATGTATCAAATATTTATTTTATTATTTTATTGGGCCTATAGTTACATTAACTATTAAAAAATAATCAAAATTAGTTTTAGTTTGTATTCTATTGGTTGTTAATGAGACTCATGCATTAAAAAATTAAATTAAATATTTGTCACCTTCTTTGTTTGCTGTCAAAAAAGGCAATTAGAAAGCAATGAGTCAAATGACTCACATGCTACATCATATATGACATATCCATTTGAAAACACTTGAATGTCTTTTAATCTTATTTGACATCTCATTTGGAGATGGTCTTAGGATCACTATTAGGCGAGGGTTAAAAAAAAGGGTAAAATTTAGTTTGCGTAAATTTACGCTACTGCTCATAATTTTGTTTTGTGGTAGAAGACAAAATTGTCCTTTTTACCTTCTTTTAGTCAACAAAGAGAGTTCTATTAATATGGTTTAGAGATTTTATTAATGGAACAATACTTGATTACTCAAAGATGAGTAGGAATTCCTACTCAAAACTCTTAGTGTTTTAATCACAAAGCTTTGTGCTTATGATCAGAACCGTTCATATTATGAATTACATTGTAAAGATCATCTCTGCAAAAAATAAATTAAAATGAATTAAAACTAAGGTTGTTTAGTTAATCTATTATAGCAAATACATAGACGGTTTGTAATGTTTTTACTAATACCGTTCATTTGTTTTTAAACAGTTTAATAACTAAACGACCTTAGTTTTAATTGATTTCTTGCAGAGACGATTTTTATAGGGTGATTTATAATATGAATGGTTCTAATTATAAACATGAAGTTCTATAAATAGACAACGAATAATTTTGAGTATAACCTACTCATCTTTAAGTAATCAAATATTGTTTTTAATGTAGTTTAGAAACCATTTTGAATCAAAAGCCCACTTAATACAATTTTAAACTTTTTTATAGTACAAATTGCTCAAATTGAAAACCTCACCTAATTCCGAAACCACTTACAAATTTTAGGGTAAAATATTGAAGCAACCAATTCCATCTCTTTCAATTCAAAAGTCACATTTAATTCCATTTTGCCTGACCATACGAAACTATTGACAATACAAAGTGAGATTTTTTAAAGGGACACTTTGGATGCGGTCCCTAGCTATCAATATTCTTTGATTGAAACCTTGTTAGTTTTTAGTTTTTTATTGAGGTCCATGACATTAATGTAATAATGTAAGTTACTATATTTTTTAAATTAAAAATTAAAAATTGAAATTTGTAATTGTTTATATTAATGAGATTTTAAATAAAACCCATAATTTATGGGATTAAAAATAATAAAATATAAATTATACTCTCTATTATATTGTGTGTGTGTGTGTGTGTACATATATATATGGGTACATTAACCAAAATTAACAAAAAAAGTTATTGTACCAAACATGGATACATTCTCAAATCAACGAAAAAGAATGTACCCATATAAGTTTAAACATGGATTAAAAAATTTGAATGGATTTTATATTAAAAAAAAAGGGTACATTTTACATATAACAAATTGATATATTTGAGAATGGGTACATTTAAGATTAAAAAAATTGAAAAATTATATGAATGGGTACATTTAAGATAAAAAAAATTGAGAATCTTTTTATATATAAAAAAAACTAATAGGTACAAACTTAATTTAATTTAATTTTTTTTATTATTTTGGAAATGTTTGAATTGAAAATTAATTAGAAGTTTAATAGAGGTGTGAGAATTAAACCCTAAATTAATTACTAATTTTTATATTAAAAAATTATATAATAAACATGTAAATTCATTATCACATTATTGCTAGGGACTTGAATCAAAATTTAAGAACTAATAAGGTCTTAGTCAATAAACAATAAGAACTAGGGACCGGATACTAATTTTTCCTTTTTTAAACTTGTTACGTTTCAATTTATCTAAATGCATCACATCATTGATTTAAAATACCACAAACTTAATGTACTTGTTTCATATAAATTATTTTTTAAAACAAAAATTGAGTCTCACTTTGTTCTTTATGAATTACAAAAAATATCGCTTCAGCCTATAATTTGTTTAAGAGCATATTCCAAAAGGAAAAAGAAAAAAAATTAGAATACTATGAGTAATGCTAGGTAAACCAAATTTGTAAATCATAACAATAGAAAATAAATACTGTAGACATCGAAATTTCGGTAAATAAATGTTGACCGATAAATCAAAGTGTCAACGCTCATGTATTACATAAATTTTACACGTAGCGTGTGACTCAACGAAAATTGAAATGAGTTGGAAAAGTCATCAAATAGGACACGTGTCAACACCTGGCAGAAACGACTTATTTCATCTGGGATATTATATTCAAAATTAGGCCTTGGAAAATTCTATAAATACAAGCCCATTTCATTCATTTTAAGAAAAACCAATTCATATTACACCTTGAAGCCCTGAAGCTCTGAAACTCCGAAGCTCTCAAGCATCCAGTTTCCCGAAGAATCAAGAAAGCCTTCTTCGTTCTTCGTTCATCGTTCTTCCAAGATCAAGCCCCCGACGGCCCTTTGGATCAACAATCATCCACCTGCAAGCCCAAGCCTCAACGGCCCCTTGAAGAAAGCATTCATCGTTCATCGTTCATCAACTGTTCATCCTCAAGGATCAAGCCCCAACGGCCCCTTTGGATCGACAACATCAACGAATCCGCTCATCCGCTGTTCATCAAGCCCAAGCCTCGACGGCCCTTGAAAAAAGCGTTCATCGTTCATCACTGTTCTTCGAGATCAAGCCCAAAAGCCCTCGGAGATCCGTTCAAGCCCAAAAGCTCTCGAAGATTCGTTCGTCACTGTTCTTCGAGTTCAAGCCCAAAAGCCATTGGAGATCCGTTCATCACTGTTCTTCAAAGATCAAGCCCAAAAGCTCATTTGAAGATCCGCTCAAAGCCACCTTCAAGATCAAGTCCACGGCCCTTGAAGAACGTTCATCCTTAGATCAAGCCCAACGGCCCTTTGGATCAATCACACATCCACAAATACACACCTTACGGAGATCGAATCAGAGGATCAAAATAGAGAGAGATTGTAACCCAAAATCATCAAAAAATACAAATATTATTTTGTGCACGTTGTTCTTGTCTCTTTCATTTCAGGAATTTTATGTGTTTACAAATACGTTAATCAATAACAATCTAATTATCAACAATCACGTCATATATTTACAAATTTGATCTAAATAGTGGCATTACTACGTTGTTGCTGTTGCTGAACCACCAACACACTAGATTTGCAGCGAAAGTCCGCTGAGGAAAGCATGTCGCCGATAACCCCAAGCTCCGGGAACTCACTCCAGTCCTCAAGACCCAACGTCTGAGGGCTTTTCACCTTATATCTTCTCCCGACGATGAGCAGGTCGTATTCATCGTCGTCCATCAACGACCGTATTTTCCTTGTCGTTTGAGTCCCATCCTGTACATTCTCTTCCACGTAACTCACATACCCTATACTCTTCTGCTTTACTTCCTTCAACATCTCATTGTCCTGCACCCACTCCCATTTGTTGTGACTCTCCTCGTGGTCTGATGCGTCCACCAGATGAATCACCGTCAGGCTGATGCACGCGTCCTTCACCATCCGTTTCGCGAGAGTAAGCGCCTCTCTATCGTCCTTCCCTCCGAGAAAAACCACCGCAACTCTATACCCTTCAGCTGAGGAGTTGGTGCATCTTATGTGACCACGGTTCACAAGAATGGCAACCGAACATGGCGCGATTTTAAGTACCCTACGATTGAGATCCCTTACGTTTTGGTTTTCCGACTCAATAGACCCGTCAGTGGTCGACCACTTCCGATGAAACGGAAGGATTATGAGCGACGTGTCCTTGTCCAGCGCGAGGGTGCATATGTCGTCATACATGTATTGGGGAGGAGAGACCACTGTAAACACATTAACGGAGACAGCTCCATCGTTGTCTCTCATAAACTGAGTAAACGAGCGGATGACATTGTCGGAGTACGAGTAGTTGGAGAGGTCCCTTTTGTGTATATCGTGGGCGAAGAAGATGGGCGTGCTTCGGGCAACTAGCTCGATGAGGTGAAGGACGTAGAGGGTGATGGAGCTTTCTCGAGTAGGGCACGCGGCGTCGAGAAGATTGATGATGGCGGGGGTGTTATCGGCTCTGTTGATGCACGCAAGGATTCGTAGGTCGGAATTGGGTTTGTCATTCATAAGGTTTCTTTGTTGGTAGCCGGCGTATTTTATCTTAGGATCGTACAAGAGCTTCACAAGAGGTGGCACGACAATTGCACTAAATACGACGGTGAACATCATGTAATTAAAGACCCCATGAACAATAACCTGCGCATAAGGAAAAACATGGGAACTAGTATTAATATCAGTAAGGCTGCCTATTAGTAATTATAAAGATGAACATGCAAATGCGTGAACGTGTGACAATAATAATGTGTAGTTTGTTACGAATTAAATTAAATTAAAATAAGTATTTGCATGTTATAATTAAATTGACTAGATTGGTAATGCCATATCGACATGTATGTATTATTAATTTATATAAACTTAAACTTACGTACCCAAGTGTCTCTAGCAATGGTGTATGCGGCTATCTCGACAACGCCTTTGCTGGTCATTACGAGTGCTAGTGCCACAGCATGCTTGAGAGGCATATTGCAACACAAAGGAGTCACCAAAGAGGCCACAAATTTGCTCAAGAAGATCACAAGAGTGATGATTGCTGTGGCACGAACTGCCGTTTGGTCACCATCAGGCACCTCCTGATGTACAACCACCCTCATCATGGACGTCGTCACAAAAACCGGCATAAAAACCCTATTGACCATAAAGTCAAGCTTTCTGACCAGTGTAGCTCCCAGTGGGGGCCCATCTGGCACAGCCAATCCCAAGATTAAAGGGCCCACTACAATGGACAGACGAGCTTCATGGGAAATCAATCCAGATCCAAAAACAGCCAGCAGGATTATTGATATGTACGAGTCCTTAACGGATTTGCCCTCCGGTGTCTTTCTCACCATCCACAACATAACTGGACGACAAACGTAGTAAACAAACAAGGTGAAGACTATCATCATCGTCAAGTCGATAAGGGGCTTATCCGGATCTTGCTGCATGACTGTCATTATGGTTGAAACACCGGTGAGTGAAATGCTGGAGAGGTCACTGACAAGTGCCGATGATAATGCGAGCCGGCCGAGCTCAGAGTTTAAGATTCTGAGCTCGGTGAGGAGGCAATGGATGACGGGGGACGGAGACAGAGAGTGCATTGATGTTATGAAAAGAAGCTGAACAATTTCCTCGGCTTGTAAGGACCACTGGAAGGTGAGGATGAGAAGGGTTGCAGTGGCGGCAATTAGAGGCACTATCAAGGTTAAAACACCGGTGTAGATGGCCTTTCTTCCGGTTTTATATACTAATCCGACGTCCATTTTTACTCCAAACAAGAAGGTGAAGAGTGTGTAGCCAGACAGTGATATTATGTTGAGTACTTCTTGATTAGGAAAAGGAAATATGGGATTCAAACTGAAGCCACGACTTGAATGTCGGACCACTCTGTCAAGTCCTAAATCACCAAGGAGTAATCCAGCCTGGAGGGTTCAGCCAAAATAATGTTAATGTCACTAGTAATTACTTAATGCACTCATAACATTGATAAGAGCAATTTTTGTTTTATCATGCAAGAGAACGGAGAATTAGATGGAGATCTCAACCATAGAATACAAGCTGGATGGATGAAGTGTAAGAGTGTATCCGGCGTGTTGTGTGATCGTCGTAGGCCACTGAAGCTCAAGGGAAAATTTTATAGGACGGCAATAAGGCCAACGATGTTGTATGGCACAAAATGTTGGACGGTGAAGCATCAACACGTACACAAAATGGGTGTAGCGGAGATGAGGATGCTTCGTGGGATGTATGTGCACACGAGAAAGGATAAGATTGGGAATGAGGATATCCAAGGTAAAGTAGGAGTAGCCAAAATTGAAGGAAATATGAGAGAAAATCGGTTCCGGTGGTTTGGACATGTGCAAAGAAGGCCTACTGACGCTCCGGTTCGAAAATGTGACTACGGGACAGAAGTTCAGGGCCGAAGGGGTAGAGGAAGACCTAGGAAAACTTTGGAAGAGACCCTAAGAAAAGACTTGATTACTTGGATCTCACGGAGGACATGACACAAAACCGAGCGCAATGGCGTTCTAGGATTCATATAGCCGACCCCACTTAGTGGGAAAAGGCTTTGTTGTTGTTGTTGTTGTATCTATCGTTCCAAGAAACTGCAAGAGCGGAGTCCATTTTGTAGCGATAGATGCCTATAATTATACCACAAAATAAGATTCCGCTCCTTGTAGTGATCAACCTCACAAATTCCGCTCCTCAAGCCCGCATTGTTAGTCACTACTATTGCTTTCTAAAGACAACCACAATGATGGTGAGAAATATTTAGACAATTAGAACATGCCTATGAACGACTGTCAACCATTAATGTAATGTATTATGTGAAATGTACTATGAGACTCATATGCATCTACAACTTTTATCCAATACATGGTACGTACCAGAAGTTGTGCGGCAAACACCGGGAGGCCAAATAACTTGAGAAACAAATGGGTGAGTTGGGTTAGAACATAGATGAGAGTAATTTCAAATTCCAGAATTGGGAGGGTGTAGTTCTGCAGTCGAAAGGTGAAATGCACAATCCCAAGCGGGTCTTTAACATGCACCGGCCAAGCATCCGATTTGTTCCACAAGCCAAGCGAATTAACGCGAGGCGGAAACACCGTGCATATGGTCACCGGATCGGTCATCCTCTTCTGCATTCCTGTTTGATACGGTGTCACCACACTAAAGATCCAGAAGGCAGTCACTACAAAAATAAGAAGTAGAGGCGATGACATTCTGGCTCAATCAAAACTGAGAATATCCGAAAGTATCAAGAGCTTGTCGCCGAGAGAAAAATTGTATTTGGTTAATTCATGGTTGCTCAGAGAAACACGAAAGAGGGGGACAATCCAAAATTATTATTTTATATATCGTAATTATAGACTCAACATTAGTAATTAAGCAGCTGGTTTTAAACGAGTGGTTGTGTTAGCTACAGCATTTAGGAAGAAAACTGCCTTTCAACAAGATTTTAACAGAGTAACATTCACAACCAGTTGCTTTTGACCGTCTGCATGCAATTTATTTTCTTGAAGTGGTTAAGTGGTTGTTTTCACCACGACAACAATTTTTGGTTACTTGTGTGACTAGTTTCTTCTCATCTAAAAGTTCTCATAACAAAATCTGAGAGTTTACTCAGGCAAAGCCCATCTGTACATTATTAAGTGGAAGAAATTTATTAGGTCAATCTGATAGAATAAAATCCTCGTTAAGATTATTTGTTAATTATACAAGTATAAGGTATGAGTAATACTAGGTAGACTAAATTTGTAAACTAAATGATGTGTTACTAATAAGAAATAAGCACGTAATCAACGCATAAGTAATAACTTAATCATTATTCCCTCATTTAGTTTACAAACTTCTTTGTCAATTTCCGTGGCATTTAGTAATTAATTATAAGGAACGGATCTGTGACACCAATTTTTTACATGGCTTTTTACACAAGTTTTTGTGGGACGCATTCCTATGTGTTTTAGGTATGAACCATCTATCTTTTAGAAGATCATTTATAGATCATTACTGTAAAAAATTAGACAATCCAAAACCATTAAGACATTCACTTGGAGTGAAGAAAATGAACGAATACAGATTTGGTAGACAAAATTTTTGAAGAAATACCTAAAAAATAGACGATTCGGATGCTTGAAATATATTTACGAAATAGGCTCCGTAAAAACTTGTCTAAAAATATATGGTATCACGAATTGGCTCCCATCATAAACTATATCTTAATCTAATAAATGAAAAACTTAAATAATTACAAGCGAATCAATGTTGCAATACGTGGACAGAATTACCCTTAATTTAACCTAACAATGGAGTATTTGACACACCCCGTCCCGAAGGAGGGCATGCTGGCCGTCACGTGAGAGTGACGTAACCATTTGCACAGTACGGAAGCTTTAAGATACAATTTAAATTGATACACCCGAAGGTGAGTCCTAATTTTGTCCAATCTGTCAGAACACCGTCGAATTCCTCGTAGTCACCACACCTTTGTGATTCCTGAACCTGGAGGGGCGCAAAACCAAAATTGAGTGGGTCAGTAAAAACAATTCTTTTCAAATCCAATTTTTTTCTCAAAAGCATTGTAACCCTCTCCGTAAAACCTGTTACTTTCCCAGAAATGTAAAATATAAATATACATATATATTCTCAAAACTTCATTTTACTATCTCAACATTTTTCTTTATCAATCATGACATGCCATGTCTAATTCAACAGTTGAAGTATGGATGCATCAACAATAATCATATCAGGTACAAGAAAGTAATCAACCGGAGGCCCTCTAATAGCCCTGTACGGTTGAACCTAAGAGCTCAAAATCTATCATTCTCACACTCTGCCGGAGTCAACTCTACGTGACCTGTACGGCCTTCTGCACATAAGTTACGCCTCTAGTGCTTCTCATAATCATCTGTGCACATAATCTAAGGTCACCCACCAGCGGAATCTCACTAAAACTCTCGCGACTGGCCTGTCGTAACCCACTCCGCGTGGATGTACGACTAGCATCTACTTGGATCCAAGGCGAGCGTGCGATGCGGTGAATACTATAAGCACTAAACTATGGTGCAGGGTTGAGCTCAATATACATCAACATCATCATAACAGAAATAAATACTCACATGTGCGTCCACCCCACCATTTCATACATATGCATCATAAATCAATTCTTACATGTGCGTCCACGACCAATTCATACATATGCATCATATATTAATTCATGCATGGCATTTCAACTCACATTTCTATATACTTTTCATATCAATTCATGCATGGTTTCACTTCGTTTTTCACATACTCATATGCATTTCATTTTAACATATTTCATTTCTTCAATTCTGGGGTCATATATATATACGGAAACAAAACTGCCCTCACCTGGAGTTCGTCCAACAACTCCCTAGCACCACACATCAAGGCGTCACGACGATCGCCGCCTAGAAATAGTAATAAATCCAAGCTAGAATTCATATCGATAGAATATATAACTTATATAAATACGTCACTACGTAATTGATCGGAAGATCTGCCACTCAGATTTTAATCCATAACTTCCAGAGGTCCACAATATATCTCTAGGACAACATCTAAAATTTCATCACATCCAACGGTCGGATCTCCGTCAATTTCCAAAACTAAGTGACGGTTAACATTTTATATTATGGACTTACAATTCCATTCCGGAAGATCCGTAACTCGATTCCCAATCCGTAAGTTCCAATAATCCTCGATATTACGTATTACACGTATCAAAGTTTGGTAACGATCCAACGGTCCGGATCGTCAATTCACATTTTTACCTAAAATGTGAAAACTAATAACGTTATTCGAACACCTAACCAACAATCCTTAATAACTTTCTCATACGGTGCTTCAATTTGGGTATATGAATAACAACGGTGATTACTCGACGTCACGGACGTCGACATATTTTTAAAAATAATTTTTATTTTATTTTTTTTTTACTGTAGCACCTTTCTTCTTGGGTCGCCGGACTGGTTTTTCCGGCGGCCGTTTTCCGGGCAGTTTTTCAAATTGCATAATTTGTCATTTCTCAACGAAATCAATGATTCAAAAACGAGAGTTGTAGCCCTTGAAGAGACAAAGAGAATGGTACCTTCACACACCTAGTTCGCCGTAGTTTGGCCGGAAACTGCCTCGAAAGCCTCGGAGGTCGCCGAAACTGGGTATTTTTCAAATGAGTATAACTTTCTTCAATACTCAACGAAATTGAGTGAAACAAAAAGGAAAGTTGTAGTACTTGACGAGACGAAAGAGATTGATACCTACCTCAACTCTAACTCGCCGGGATTCGCCGGAAAATGCCTCGAAAAGCTCCCGGCCAAACTTTGAACTTGTCGATCTCCGTGTTCTTTTACGTCCAAAAACTTCCAACGAAGCACTCCGAGCATCCTTGGACTTCCTAAAGCTCACTATGAGCTTGGTTTGGCCTAAAACACAACCAATTCAAAGCTCATGACAGTACACCATTCACGGCAACTTTAGAAACTAGGGTTTTCGAAGTGAAACTTACTTGAAAATGGGTATCATCGTGATCGTATGGTCTTCAGGAGTACGATGGCACTCTTAAATCCGTCGTTGGTGGAAGTTTAGGGTGTTTTTTGTGGTGGTCTTGGTGGTTGCCGTGTGTTCGAGAGGGTGAGAAGAGAGAGAGAGATCTGAAATGGAGAAGAAGAGAAGAAGGAAAGGTTACGGGTTTTTAGGGAGTGCTTTGAGGTATGAGATCCACCTTAATCCAAAC